TTTAATTTAGGACTAGGGGCTAGTTTGCTCTCTCCTACTATAGCCTAGGCCTAGCCTAGAAAGTCGCCATTTTTCAAAACCAATTCCGTCTCTCTTGAGTTGACGTGCGCGAGCGCCCAAACTCTACTTGCTCGTTGGTGGCTCACCACTTTTCTATAAAAGGCAGCCGTTAATCTATCCTGGATGGCTTGTGCGAGTACAACTGTTACTAGGTGATATATAAATCAGACCCGACTGTCGGTTTCATAGACGATTAGAGAAAATAATGTTGAAATTATTGCCGCAATTCAATGATTTACCATTGTATTTGGTTCGTTAAGATTATAAAGAAATTTTAGCACTTTTGGTTAATTTTGAATAATAGTATATTATAAGTAATCATATTTTCAATAAAAATGTTTGATGTATTTAAGAAATCATTGCATGTGATTGATATTTAATTTACTATCTCGGCCAGGTTTTGGCACACCATACGCCCACAAATTGCTTGAAGAGAGAGTCATTATTTTGTTTGTAGCGTTTCCTTTTTTGTTTGCAGCGTTTCTGTTTAGTTTGCAGCGCGTTCTCTTTTTTGTTTGCAGCGTTTCTGTTTTTGTTTGCAGCGCGTTTTCTTTTTTGTTTGCAGCATTTCTTATTTGTTTGCAGCATTTCTTTTTTGTTTGCAGCATTTCTTTTTTGTTTGCAGCATTTCTTTTTGTTTGCAGTGTGTCCCTTGTGGGCCATCGTAGCTTTTAAACGTTCGCTGAACAATTTAGTACTGCAATTTAAAAGAAAACTTCGATTTTGTTGTTGTACACCATTTTTTGTTTAGTATTTTGAAATATTTATATAGTTGAACTTGCCTATGTCCTATCCAAAATGCCATTGAGAAATTGTTTGACTTTAACAGAATTGACTTGCACTTACAGTAATTGAAAACAACAATTCGGCATGTAAAATTAGATTGACTTAGAAGTTATGCCAAAGTCGTCTTAGGCAAGTTTAACTGATTTATTTATCATGTTTGATTGCCTTGTATTATTTACCATAGCCAAGATTTCTTCTTTCATGATGATTTTCAACATCCATGAAATTTTTGGTGCTTTACTTTGTTATTGATTATTACTGTACATAAATTCAAGAGTACTTGTGTTACTAAATAAATATTTTTTAAACACAATTTATCATCCTTGTATATGGCAAATAATTTATTACAATTGTATTTTCTCAGTTAATATAAATTTGTTTCACTGTACACAGAACAAAACTCTGAAGCAGTCAGGTATTAAGATATATCACTGCATTTAACACACACTATTTATTATCAAAATATTAAATGTATCGATTTACAGTTAGTTTTACACCAATGTAAAGAATATGATAGAACAAGTTAAATTTATTTACTGTACACAAAACTCCAAATCACAGAGTTTCAAATTTTAAAATATGAGACGCGAGTGGGGATGACACAAGAATATTGCATTTGGAACATACTGTACTTCACAACAAAATGTTCGTGAAATCAATTTGGCTGGCCTATTCGCATCTGGCCTATCCACATCAATAGCAACAATTTCTATTACAGACTAGGCCTGGATGGTTACACACAATTGGCTGGTGTAGATACAGAAACTGTAGGCCTATGCTGACAAAATTTCCTTTCTTACCATGAGTGATGAGATATTGCAAGCATTTTTATCAATGATTCCTGTATCTGTATCTCATCATGTACAAACACCAGAAGGCTGGTTGTCGCGTACGTCGGTCAGGTTGAGGTGTGTAACAATTAAATATTGTAATGAGCTTTAGTCGTTAATTTATGAATATTAATGAGTCCAAAACACAGCTTTAAATTAATTAATGAGTCCAAAACAGCTTTAAATTATTTTATATTAGGTGACATCCGAATATTCTCACTCAAGCAATTCCTGTATCTATAGCATCAAAATACCCAGGGTAGTCTTCACAGTCCCTAATCGACCACAGAGTGCAAGATGGGATGACCCTTCTGTCCGATTTCTTTAGCCTGTTACAGCTACCAAATGAATCCATCGATATCCAACATGTCGACATTTCCTATTAGAGAAGTTCAATAAGAAAGTTAAAACAGACCAGTTAAAAAATTTAGAGTGACTATTCTTACACCATTCAAAAATAATTAGAATTGATATTACAATATCTTTATATTACAGTATAAGGAAATATCCTGGCACTAATCATCAATGATAATTTTTATTGAAAATATATATTAATTAACCATCACTGTGAAAAGCCCATATTCAAATGCATTGCAAAGTTGTATAACAATAGCCACGGCCTAAAATATTATTCTGAATAGAATTAACTATTTCATTAATATAGAACTTTTATATAAATAATATAAAAATAAAAATTAGTTAAAAAGTTACAGATGAAGACAATTACAATTTAAACATGTATAGCACATATGTATAATAGGCTATTTTGTTTCTCAATCATTTTTAATGTAGAGTACAGTAATAATAATTCCCCTGTATTTTGACCATCAAAATGGTTGAACATTTGACCCTCTACTAGTTATTGATCCAACATGGAAGAACT